CATCGTTGCGCGAGAAAGTTTTCGCGGGCCTCTCGTGAGACGACGTGACGGCAGCTGCGTATTATCTCTTAGAAAAGACGAGATCGAATTCTCTTCCGCAGTGTATTTTTAGCACATCGGAAAACGAAAAGAGAGACGCGAAGAATCCCAACGGCGCGATAAGAACCGATGATCATCGATTGTAATGACTGTAATTTGATCGTATTAATTATATTGGAGATTTGAGAGCACAAGAAACGTCAGTAGATGTGCTTCCCATTTGATGACACAAGTCGACACAACGTTTACTTTTAAATGTCAAGGAAGATAGAATGACGTTTGTGTCGATTTGTGTAATACCAAATTCGAGTGGACTCACTAGTGCGTGCTGGTGCAAATTAAGAGGATTCTCAAGTTTCTGTTTTATCAATTGTTTTTTAAATAAATATTTTTCTAACTGTCTTTACAGATTTAACGATAAATGATAATATTATGGCGCGAAAAACGAAAAAAAGTCGAAAAATTGCAGTGTTATCGGCCTCGGGTGTTCGTTTTAACAATATTTGCTTTATATAAAAGTTTAATTTATATTTGCTATGTACGTAAACTATAAAGGTTTACTTTGTACGTATAAAACAATCTTGAACTAGGGGTTACATGAAACAATTTCGAGTTCTTAGAACTAGGCTTGCAATTAGATAATATGAAAAATTAATTGGAAAATTTGTACGTATATATGTGTGCAATATTGATGTAGTAATATTGGTGTAGTGTATGTGTGACAATGACACGTAAATTTGTATGTGTGTAAGTTCTCCATTAAATCCTGAGTCAGTAAAAGATCATTTATATATACCGTAAAGTGTTAACTTATGTTATAAGCTATAACAAACTGACCAATCACGAATGTGAGCAAAATGAAGTCGGTTATTCTCCTCACGTTCGACTGTGAATGGTCAATTTCTTATAGCTTATGACACAAGTTAAGTTTGTGGCATGTATAAATGATTAAACGATGACTTTAGGACTCCTTTAAAGTTGTGCACTAATTTAATTTGAATGAAATGCAAATATTTTAAATTATAGAACATTTTAATATCATAATAAAGTGATTTATTTTACGGTTTAACTGAATTCTATATTGACATTAAATACATATCTTTACGTCAATTTGTGTACGACGGTTTTAATGTTAGGGGATTAATACAAATTCTTCATTCTAAAATTCCATAATATTTTCCTAATTTTCAGAGAAAATTTCATGATTTTTTCTAATGCTTTCAAGTTTTTTGAAATTTTTATATTTTTCGTCCCGATTTAGAAACTATGTTAAATTGATCTCTCAACAAATAGTTTGTTGAGAGACCTATTTAATATAACAATGTAAATTACTATTAACATTGCTAAGTACTGACACTGCTTACATTTAATTATTAAGTTGGTAGTATTCCAAAACTGCGTTGGTATGATAAGCATATTAAATTTCTTTAAGGTCAAGGATTTAAATTTTCCAGAAAATTTTGCAAAATTTCCTGACTTTTCCCTGACTTTCGATTTCACAGCAAGCCTGAATATGCACCAATATGCACCGAGTTCTAATCGAATTTGCTATAAATGGAAAGCACTTAATGATAATAAGTCAATGGCACCGAGAGTTCCAAGAAAACCTGGAGGAAAACCGAGTCGCGAGGATCACTTCCGTGAGAGAAACAAGCCCTACCTTCGCTCGAGATTACGTAACATCCTGACCACGAGTGCGGTCGCGGAGGTAATTATTATATTATGATTGTGGGAAAATTAATATTCCCCCTCCGTCCCCCCTTTTTTCATGTAGAACGTGGTACATTATCAATATTCATTTACGCTCACAATTTAACGAAGTGCCCGAGTATTTGATGTAATATAATGTATCGTATAACGCCGTTATGCAGTTTCGATCAGAAATTCGTAGAGTGAAAATCAAACGGGGTAATCGGGGTCACTAGTTACATCGCAAATCATATTTCGTATGCTTGCGAAGGCAAGCATTATACGAGAGTTCCCGTGTACGTTCAGCTTGAAAATCGGGTTACACCCTGCTCGACTACCTACGATTAATTACACTGAAAGCATACTCGCGTAATTACACTGTGTAATACATCCGTCATTTTAACGAGTGCACTATTATGCGGTCGTAACGTATATTATAAAAAAAAAAAAAAAAAACGAGATAATTTAAACAACAATTCTTTAAGTGGGAAACGCGATACGAATTTTTTGAAATTAAAACCCGAGCGAGTGTACGTTTTTAATTGGAATGTGTTAAGGGAAAATCAACAGGCAACGAAACGCCTGATTATATTATTAGCGGAAAAACTTACGGTAGCGCAACGTGACGTAACGTGTAACAGTCTTGCAGTTGAAATCACATGATTCCTGTACGAGACGTCAATCACGAGTCGCCGGAGAGGCGTAATTATATACAGCGAGTTCCGGGAAAAAAAAAACACGGAGAGATTAAAATCCGGTCTACGACCACGGATATGTCGCGCGAAATAGAGTCCTGTTTTTGCCCTTCCTTCGGGCGAGGATCAATGACACCCCTCTTCTCTTTTTCTTTTCCATCGAGAAAAATGTCAGGCAGTGACATATCACTAATGCCGAGAGTTCGCCTTGGAGGAGCGACGTTAACTCAGCTTGTCTGTAAAGTCTATTCTACAATTACGTAAGCGTAGTTATATTTACAATTGTTGTAGTTATAAGAATTGACCAATCACAGTCGAATGTTCTCCTCGCACTTTGGCTGTGATTGGTGAATTTTCTTACAATCACAACCACTTACAACTACGCTTACGCAATTATAGAATAAACTTTACATATATTACACGAGTACGAACTGAAATACCCGCGTGCGTCACTATTATATACGATATAAATTGACTCTAATGCAATAATATTAGGAATTTCGCAATCGGCAATTGTTATCGCGGAAACTCCACGGTATATATTAATCCTGGCGACGGTGTATCACGACCTCTGGTCACGCAACGGGAAGCGTCCTCTTTCATGCGATACAAGAGAGCAAGTCGGAAAAAAGGAAGGGTACCAGTTATCCTTGGATATCGTTCCCGAAGGAGATTGGAGTTGATTGATAAAATTGCGTGTCGCGTAGTGGTAGTGTCGAAGAATAATTGATCAAATTAATCAGCGCGATTATCTTCAACCGTCTCGAGCGATTCCATTTATTTATCCTCGCGATCTCGAAAAGAATCGGAAACGGAAACACGATCGTGAACCGAGAATCATAAGCTGAGAAAGAAATCGGCGACAAAGTCTTCTCTCTCGGCCGTGTCCGAACGAAATTCTCGTTGCGAAATTCTCGAAGCTTATCGAGATTCAGTCGCGAATTTCTCAAGGGACGGATGTTCCTTCTCTAGAACACCCCGTAGTGTCCCCGAGGCGACGACGGTGAATCATCCCGCGTCGAGCGACAGACACTTCGCGAGTCGAAGATAACCCGTTTTCTTAATCGCCGTGTACGCGTTTACTCGAGCGTGCGTTATCCTCGTGCACCGTGGCGGCGTGAACGAGAAAGGGGGAGAGAGAGAGAGAGAGAGAGAGAGAGAGAGAGAGAGAGAGAGGAGAGGAGAGGAAAGAGAGGAAGGGAAAGAGAATGACGAGGAAGTGCGCGTGTGCTAGGGGAATTTCCAAGTTCACCAGGCACCTCCATCGATCTGCCGGCTATCGGCGTTGTAGCGGCCGGCTATCAGCCACCGCCGTCGTCGTTGCCGCTGCACTTTACGTGCCGCGGCGGCGTTCACTTTTATTCGAGGCTAACACCGCCAGGAACCACCACCGGCCGAGCTATCGACCCCTGAACTTGACCCCCATAGTAGCGAAAGCCTAAATCCCACGATTAGATTACGAGTCTCGTGCACAATCCGGCACATCCGCACGAATTCTCGATGCGGATGCTTCAGGCTGCTTTCCTTTTAGGAGACACGCAGTCGACATAAATGTCGTTCTATCTTTACATTCATTGAATGTCAAGAAGGATAGAACGTGGTTGCGTCGGATGTGTCTCTTAAAAGGAGAGCAGCCTTAGACAGGCATCTACGGCGAATTTGAGGGAGGGAAGGATGTAATCTTGAATTAAAACATTTTCATTCCCCAACGATATCCGTTCTCATCTCGGTCCAGAATTTCTCTCTCTCTCTGCTGCGCGCGCGTCTCGTACACTCGATTTTTGTTTGTTGTGAATTGTTGCGCAATAAACAAGGTACGCCCAGGTGTTGCCCGCGGCTGGTCGTATTGTTCGCGAATCCCTCAATCTCTCTCACGATGGATGCGTTTCCCCTCGCGAGAGGGGGATAAGGGAAACAATGCGATCCCACCCATTTTCTTCTCCTAAGGGGTTAGCGTGAATCGATTCTATTGATCTATCCCGAATAGTCTATCTTATCGAGGGTCAAAGGAACGCTTCGTCCTTGCGAAATGCTGAGAAATAATTCGATTCCTTATTACAATCTTATCGCCTCTCTCTGCGTCATTCTTGAGTGCATCAACCTGAAGTAGTCATCGCTGCGTAACGTCTGCCAGTGAATTGATCAAATACTAATTTTTTTCGAAATCTCCCCGTCGACGCGGAATGAAAATAGAAAACTTAAAGGGATTCGTATGTCTTCGCAAGGGTCTGTCCTAAAGTAATTATTTCAAAAGAAAAACCGTTGCAGTTTACGTCTACAAAAAAAGAATGATTTCAGGTAGAAAGGATATCATTGTCATACAGCAGGGAAGGGGAAAGACAAATTCCTTTTCGCCAAGAAACTACACAATACTGAATTCTGTTGAATTAAATGGCGTTCATTGTATCTACGTTGCACGAAATTATATATATGTCAAACAGATCCTGGCCGTGTCGAGATTAGAATTTTCTCCCATCTACGGCGACCAGAGAAAAGCGAGACATTCGCAGTAATTTTTTTTGCGGGGAAATTGAAATCTTCGTGGGAAAAAATCGTTTAGGATTCTTCTATACTCACCATGGTTCTGTCTGCGTGCGTGCGCGTTCGTCGGTAATCTACTTTAATCCAAATAACGCGCGTACGTAAAAATCGTCAGGGACACACTGAGGCGGAAAATCTCTCTCTCGTTTCTCTTTGTCGCGGGTTATGGTCTCGCGGCAACGATCATCCTACGAGTACGGGGACGATCCTCTGTTTCTCTCGGTCGACGAGGGCTTCCGCGTGTCAACGGCCCGTGTGTACGTGCGAGAATAACGCCACGATGAAGCGCGCTGCGCGATCAGCGACGAACGAGTGACGTGCTGCTCAACAGTCCTGAACGTAGCCGAGTAACTGACGCCAGCGCGCGAAACGCCGAAGCCGAACGCGCTCCCCTCCTAACTTCGCGTCCCGTTCGTCCTTGTCGCGCGGCCGGTGAGCGCGCGAGCGTCCGTCCTTCTCGCGCTCCCATTGGTCCCGCAGGATCAAAAACTGCGACGACCTCTTATTCGAATCTATATCTGGAAGGACGAAACCCACAAGATGGCCATTTTCCTTGGGAAATTAAATGAACTCGGAGCGTTTTATCACGTGTTATTGAAAAGATGAAAAATATATCCCCAATTACAATGCAACAATGTTTTCATTTGCGTATTTACGATCGTGTTTGCCGCGCGTTCGATCACGAATTACAAACGTTTGTTTAATTCATTAAGTTAATCCATACACACATCGCGGTTTGATCTCGAATACGGAATGATAGTTAGGGTGCCGCGTCCAGCTCGTGAGGGCGTATGAACTCGTAATGTTTAATTCCGACGATTGTCCCCCCGAGGATTCCGTATAGCCACCCCTGCGCAACGTGCGCGCGCTTTAATATCAGCAACGCGTGTTTTTTCCCAATAAGCGCATTTTGTTTCTCAAGAGTTCATAGAGAGAAACTTTGAGTATATCGTATTTCTTGTATTAAAAGCAATTACCTGAATCGAAGTGTCACGAGGGGTGATTTACGAGATGCAGATTGTAAATTTAAATAAAATAAATTGTTTCATTCGGCGCAAAGTGCGCGAGCTTCAAAGTGGCGGGAGCGCGCGCGCGCGGTCGTATCGACCCTTCACCATTGGATGACGCATCCTCCAATGACCGGTCGGCCCGGCGATTACGTCACTCTGGGGGTATATTATTGACGCCGGACGTGTGCAACGGCGTCGCACTGCCGCGTTTCTCCGGGGGACATCCCTCCGTATCTTACGACCCCTCGGGATCGTCCTGGGGGTTGCGTAATGACCGAGCACCCAGTGCGAGATCGCAGCAGGTTTAACCCTTTCGGGAGAAAACCTCCCTCCGGTGGAACTTCCCTGATATGGCGGAATTCTCTTTGGAAAAGATTAAACTCTACCGCAATTCACAACACGCGTACGCCGCTTCGAAAATAGATTATTCTTTTGAGTTATGGTCTGACCTGGAATGAAGATGGATCCCCCAGGGATGTAGGAAGAAAGAATGTAATTACAGATGTAAGGGAAGAAAGAAAATATGTGCATCTCACATGGCATTCATTTTTAAGATACAAAGAAAAGTGACAGAAACTACCTTTTTTTTTTGTTAAACATTTGGTTTGGAATTTTTAAGTAATGACATGTAATAAATTAGGCTATGCGATCTGTAAAGACGATGTCTGTTTTAAGAGGAATACTCGATACGCTGTATGAGATATAAAAATACGATATAAAAAAAGAGTATATAAAAAAATACGTTTTTTCTTTTGATTTTGATTTCAAATTTTTTAATATGGGAAGAACGTAGAAAAGTTTATTGAAATATCTAAAGGTTTAGCTAAATACAGGTCTGTGAAAATAATTTTATTAGTCATTAAAATAATTATGTAGTACACTCAAACTGGTTGCTAAAACGTCAAAACTTTTTGCAGCGTTGCTTATTTAGCTTATTATAACGCTTGAGAGTCTTACATAACAATTACGAGAGTTCAACAAAATTCTTTCCAGATCTGTATCTAGCTAAATTTTTAGATACTTCAACAAAATCGTTCCTTCCGTGAAGGGTATACGATCTGCGAAGACGATCGTCCGTTTCGAGAGGAACACTCAGCACGAGATTATTACAGTAAAGTGGCGCAATACGGAATACGCATTGCCGTGTTTTGGCCTTCTCCGTTTTCTCACTCAATTTCAGGAATGCAATCTTTATGTTCGCCCGCCGAGCGTGCCACAAACAAACCGGGGCGTTCCGAGGCACATCTCGTGCGTTGTGCATTATTCTCCCGCGGGAGGGACAGATGTACGCCCTCCCACCTCCGAAATTAAAGCTGTCGACGAAAATTAACGTTGTGCGACCGGAAATCCTTCTCCTGTCTGCTCCTGCCGAACGATCGACGTTTTATACGTTTCCGAAAACCGAATCGCGTCACGCCGATTAAAACCCACTCGTCCATCGCGAATTTCGACCCTGAATTCGTCAACAAGTCAAAGTCAATCTAAGCAACTTCGAGCAAACTCTGATTAACTTAACGATTAATTCAAACTGAGAAAAAATTTATAGTAGTATAGAATAGAAAATACCAAAATTTTTTGCGATATTGGTCGGGCAATTATTATGTTTGAATTTCCGAACAAAATTATTTTTAGCTAAATGTATCTAGCTAAATTTGTAGATAATTTAGCAAAATCTTTTTATCGGAACCTTTTGCAGCATTACTCATCATGCTTGAAATTCCTACAATTATTTTGTGGAGATAAAGCTCGGACCATCCGACCTGCAAAACAGGCTTGACTCTTTGGAAAATTGGAAATGACTCGAGAGGAACAGAATACCCGTCGCGATTGATTTATTGTGTTGTTGTCTCGTGATCTCACAATACTCGACGCGAAACGATTTTATATCTCGATAAGTTTATCAAGTATCCTCCATAAGATTCGTTACGCCACTGATTGGCAACCATTTAAACGATGAGTTCCGAAGAGTCAATTGTCACGCGAGATCATCGCGATATCGATCTCACGCGTATTGTTCCAGTTTCATCGGTCGGTGTTGTATACTTATAATTGTCAGTGACGGTAAACGGCACAGATTGAAAATGATGACGGATCAGCCTTTAGGACATTAACCGGTGGGGGAGGGAGGGGGACGGCCCTTCAAATTAACGCGGCGTGTTGTCGAACTTCCGTTCTGGTAAATTGGCGAACGTTCTCTGACTTATACGAAAGATTGACTAAAAGGAGAGTGGCGTCATCGACTTGGAATTCGAATCCCTGAAGTCCTCAAGTATAGCGATCGTCCCCTACTCTCTCTTTCTTTTACTTTTTACCGTTAATCATTCGCGCGTACAGATCGACATTAATTTCGAATTCATTAATTTTCTAGAAAAAAACGTAATTGCCTGCGCGAGAAACGATGGGAAAGGTATATATTCTTCCGGCTGGCTGGAAACTGGGCTTGAATTCCTACGTCAGAAAAGATGTATTAAAATAATCTCAATATTTTAATATATTTTTTTTATCTTATTTCACCCTAATATATAATATCTTTGTAGACATCATAAAGTAATATAAAATTACATTTATCACACGACTTGTGTCGTGTGATAAAAGGACGACTTTGCTAAATTATTAAAAAATTTAATTAGATTCAGATCTAAAAATAATTTTGTTCAACATAATAGGCCTGTTCTTTTTGGTTGAACTTTTGCACCAGTTTATCTGTCTTCTTCTTCGTTCCTCCGGAAGAGAAAAGGAAGAAAGATGAACTGGTGCAAAAGTTCAGCTAAAAAGAAGAGGCCTTATGTAAGACTGGTTGCTCAAACTGGTTGCTAAAATGTCAGAACCTTTTGCAGTATTACTCATCATGCTTGAGATTCCTACAATGATTTTAATGATCCGGCAAAATTATTTTCAGATCTGTATCTAGTTAAATTTTTAGATGCTTCAACAAAATCGTTCTTTTCACGAACGATTAGATGAGTGGACTTTTGCGCTTCGCTATCAATAACAACACCATTAATTCTTATTATCACATGTTATCTATTTTCCCACTGAGGCTATAATTTAATATCTGCTTACATTTCCTCTTGAAGTTCTCGGATTATTTTAATTACTTTAATTACGAAATATGATTTATTTTTCTTCTGATATAACCGGACTCAATTTTTTTTCGCCTAGATAAACTGATGCCGTTATCGTTGACAGGACTCGAGGCGTTGGAGAAGGCCCTTTATTGCTGGGAAGACGCGCTCACCGCGTTCAGCTCGACTCTTGGCAACGACACCCTGGCTCTGCCGTCGAAAGCCGACGCGGCGTTCACCCACGATGTGCAGGAGCTGCTCGACATGGGCTACCAGATCCAAAGCCACGCGGAATTGCTTTTCCTCGATCAAGTACGATATCTCTCTTCCATCCATCAATCCGCAAAACTAATCCGCTGACTCAGCGTAACCACGAGATCCGATTTTCAATCTGGAGAGACCACCGCCCGTCTTTCGCGGGCAGGCGAAGTACGGAACGGACGATCATTCCATTCCGTTGCATTCATCATCAATTGCCCTTCTACCGGTCCGGTAAAAAAATGCGGGAAATTAATTCAATTTAAATGACGACCGTCCCGGGGGTAATTAGCGCAACGAGTCACTTGACCTGACGCCAGCCGCCGGGAATTGTTGCGGAACGTTAATGGCATAGGAAGTGAATGACTTTCTCCGAAAGCAATCTGAGTTTTCGAAACGCAATACATCGAGAATTGCAGGGCGTTCATTGCCGCGAGAACTACGATATGGATATAGATATCCATATCGCCGACGCATCCAACTTCTGACCTTTGTCTACTTACTTTATCTTCTTTTTTTCTGCAGCACTCCGTTTTATTCCGCAACGACAGCGAGGAGAGCCTCGACAAACCTTCAAACTTTGGTACACGGCTATTTGGTTTCAGGGATAAAGCTGACGCCGCATCGTCGCCCGAATCGTTCGAATCTGCACGTGACGGGGTGAGTTATATGCACGAGACAGATAAATATAATCTGTCCGTATCCCGCGACAGATTAAACGGATGTGTTGAGTGGCTGTGGGACGTTAATGTAATTCGAAGACGTGCGATAACTCTCGAAAAATGATCAATTATTTTATATCTAATAATATCTGTGTCATGTATTTATTTTCATAATTATGACCTGTTTCTGACAATTCTTTTGATATGAAGACAAACGATAGATTAGCTTCTCATTAAATTATTTCAGGTTGCAGATTTGCGTGAATTCGAAGAATTTTCAGAACTATTTCCACACTTTGAGAAGCAAAAGCTTTATCATGCTGCTCTTAAACAGTACGAGGATAAAGGCATTCCTTGCAGGTA